GCGTATCGCACGTGCGACACCGCTACGATATAATATTGCATGCGTATTTGTGTTTAAACATTTACCTGTGAAAAATGCAGAGCTGATTTAAAGGACAGCTTAAGACAAAAGGCGTCCTTTATTTTGAAAAAAATTATAAAGGACAGGGGGTTAAAATAAAGGACTGTCCTTTCAAATAAAGGACGGATGGTCACCGTAAGTATACAGTATTCCACGTAATAGCGACGGGTTCCACGTATGCAAACAAGTATATGTGGGGACAACCAAATCAAAACTTAAGACAAGGATTTCCGCTCACAAATCGAACGTAAAATGAAGGAACACTTACTCGGACAACAAGACGGCCTTGTCATCCCACTGTAAAGACAAGGGACATTACGCTGATTTTGATAATGTGAGTGTCTTAGAAGAAGAGAAAAATTACCACAAACGCTTTATATTAAAAAAGCTCCACATTGTGAACACCCCTAATGATAAAAGGAATAATTTCAAAACAGACACTGAAAACTGTGCACATGCCTACCGCAACATAACATTAAGGCACAACAAATAAGCCTAATATTGTCTATTATTCGTTCCGTGTCCGAACTTCGTCTATGATAACATTGCAATGCTGGATGATTTGCATACATATTTATGTCGTACTGTGTGCCGTCCAATGCAATGTTGTTTGTATGATTTTTTGTTTACAATTACTGTTCTTTCATTTGTTTATATTTTTATGTCCATTTCGTCTCATTGTTTGGTTTGTTAAATCTTTTGATTTTTGCACACATTAGTCTACCAGGCGCAGCCGAATGTGTAAGTTGTGCTTATATACAGTATGTTGATAGTCTTTTATGCAATTTTTGTAATTAAGATATTTATTGCAGTCCTGATGATGACTTCAGACTGAAGTCGAAATATAGACGATTTAAAAACAACAAAAACAGATTGTTTTATTTCAACCCGGCCTTGAGCTCAAAAAAATATCAACAGAATTTTCAATTAACGGCCAAATATAAATAAACAATGTTTAATCAATTTCTTATAATTTTTTTAGCCACGTTGTATTCTGCCCAGTCGCCTGTCAAAGTGGCCCTTTCATGTAACTTAAACTTCATTTTATTGGTTTTTACTAACTCCCTATCATACCATTTATTTCTTAATTTGATACGATTTGGTTTCCTATAGTTTAACTGATTCATGATCGACATCATGCTTTGGTTAATATACTCCAGCATACCCTCAGTATCCAAACTATGCAAGCTCACAAAGTTGCATTGCCTCAAGAGATGTAATATGTTATCGGGGCTATACTTATCCCAATATGTTACTTCTGACAGTTTTAAAATTGACTTAGGCTTATTTACATTACATCGAAACAGTATAGTTTGATGATCCGCTATTCTTTGTTGTTCCAACTTTTCACATGATACCTCTCTGCTATTAGTATACAACAAGTCAATGAGTGTTTAGGAATACTCGGTAACCCGCGTATTAAAATTGATGTGTTGTTTCATAGTTAGGTGAGGGAAGATCTCATTGAGTTTCCTACTATAGCTTGTGTAGAATCACAATTCCAGGTATTAAGGATTTATTTTTTAATAATTAAACTATATTTTATTTTAA